GAAAGTGCTCAAATATTGCTGCAGACTCTGTGGCACCTAATGAAAGTGCCAATTAATTTAATCAGTCTTTGAGGAGACTCGTTCAACGATGCAGGATAATATCGGCCAAGTAGCGCTGTTTACTTTCAATACTTCTCATTGAAATGCTTCCCAGTAGTATCAATGGATATTGTGTATTAATTTTGAATTGTTTTATTGTTAACAACAAAGGTGGCAACAGAAAAAGAAAGTGGTATTTCATGACTATCTGATAATTAAATTAGTTCTTGTTCATCTGTGATGAGAAAATTTACGTTTTGAGAAAAAACAAAATTGTTTCTCTGCCATTTCTTCGTCAGATATTTAACTTTCTTTCATTTATCCCCCAAAACAAGCTCATCTTCCGTGTGTTTTGGAGAAACCAAGAGTTTCATGTCACATACCTTTGCGAGGAAAACAAAAGTATCAAGTTACAAAGTTGGTGTGAAGAACTAAATTGTCACGTTTGTTTAACGTGTTATTGAATTTAAAATGAATGAAAATCATAGTAAAACACCAGAGTAAAATTTAAAAGCTGTTGCGACAAACAGTAATTGTACCTAATTTTCAGACCTTGAATAAAAATACAACCTTGAAACGTACTCACTGCTAAGGGGAAAAGCCCTAGCAGACTACCAAGGTAGATACAAACCGGAACTGAACTGAGCAGGGATGAGTACTTATGGGACTACCGGACCAGAGCTATCAATAATTGCAGTCTGCACTATCTGAGATTGTCCCTCTAGTTTTCTCTTGTCATCACTTTTGTGTACTGCAAACTGGCTAAGGTCTAAAACGACACTAAATAGTGGAGTACCAAAATTATAACCCTCAGTACGTTCAGAATTAGCACCCCCTAGGGTTCAATACTTTCAGGGGGTGACTCGTGACTTTTGGGGAGCAAAAACATTATAAAAAGTTGTTGCGACTGGGCTCTTCCAGTTTAAATCTATATATTGCTGCCACATGGGTGAGCTCTTCATGTCTAGACTGTTGTCAATGGTTGGGAGAAAAGCGAGTTAAGTACCATACTTCATGATGCACTGCTACATTGTATGTAATGGTCTGCTGTAACAATATGTCAGTGCGATGGTCAAGTTTTCAATTAAAATTTGAAGAAACATTCTTTTTATTACACTCCTGATGAAAATGACATTAATTTTAATCAAAGTTTCCTATATTACGTTCCTGAAAATTTAACGGGTTTTGTTTTAACATAGCTCAAACTGAACTGAGGAAGCATGATTATTTGCTATGGATAAAGGGAAGGGGCTTAAGAGGGTGGCTGCCATTTCAGAAAAACAACGGTTGTCAATACACATATACCACTGACAGTTGGCCAAGTGTCAACCAACATACCGACCAAGTGCTGACCGATAGTGTTGACCAATGGTCTACCAACTTGAATAACATGTCGACCGACACTTGGCTGACTCTCTGTTGACATATCAACCAAGTATCAGCTAATATATCGACTGGCACTCGGTCGCCATATTGACCGATAGTATCAACTGATACTTTGGACTACAGATACCTCAAGCAGAAATACACATGATCCCAATTATGTTTCTCAAGGTGAAGAAGGGTTCAGTTCAGCCCCAATGTTTTCTGGAACTGGCTTGTTTCTTGATACCATGACCATAGCATCAACCAATAAAGTCAGTGGTAATAATGACCCATCAAAATCTATGTCTTGGAAAGTGCTGAAAACTGTTTGAGCCACCTTAAGTCTCATTGTAACTAAGTAACAGACGAAACAAAGTAACCAGTTGTCTCATGCAATATTTTTATTATTTCTTGTTCTTAACTTGCATAATTTCTACGGAGTGAGGTTTAAAGATTGATGAACCTAATGGGTTAGCTATATATTGTTCATGATCTCCAAGTCCAGAGTCATTTCAAACGTGATCACAGTTTTAATAAGTAGAGAGTCCTGTAATTAATAAGTAATTATTAATTACAGGACTCTACTCTAGATCTGTAGGTGAATTATTTGATCATATTCTGTATGCTCTAACATTCCTTTCAGGACTTTCCAATACCAAACAAGGAATCAGAATAAAACCAAACAAAGCAGGTCTGATGATGCATGTATCAGCCCACAAATGTCATTAGAAAGTTCCAAACAGGATCAGTGCCATCAATCAAAGGTGACTTATATTATCAGCCTTTTTGGTTTGTTAGTGGCCATGAGCAACACCTTTGGTCAGATTGAACATTCAAAGTATAAGTCATTGTCAAAACTTTGTGTTCAAGCAAAGGGAGAACATATCCTAATTTTGTGTTGGTGTCCAGTTAGTGTACATGCCGGGTGTGCTGTGTATTATACATGCAGGCAAAATTGATTGAGATTTTTTGTGATGACAACAAATTTAGCTGCCCCAAAGAATTTTTTAGTCAAATTCTAGATATTCTACTTTATGATAGATAGACAGACAGACAGACAGACAGACAGACAGACAGAGACAGATTGTTAGATTAATGTATGTAATGTATGATATTTCTGTGTATGCATTTTTTCTCTGTGTACAGAATCTCAATGGAAAGACTGCATGCTCAAATGTTCTAAGAGTACTTCATGTTCATTAAGAAATATTACAGGATTCTGAATACTGCTTAGGCTTAATGTTCTGGACGAAACTTCTCAGTTAGGATACCAGTATACTAACAAAACACTCAGATGATCTTCTGTAACCTCCAAGGTGTTCAAGGCTGTGCATGATCTTGACTAAATGCCCCCTGTGAGAAATGTTTGCCGAATTTCAATGAATCCCCTGAAATTTTTTTCAGAAATTCCCAGAGATTCCAAGGACTATTTTGGTTTTGCAGGATTTACAGTTTGCAAATTTTCTGACTAAGGTTTAGCATATCATAAAATTTTAATTAGTGAACATGAGGATCTTTATAGTGTGCTTGGGTCCCTAAGTGGTGTACTTAGTAGAAGGTTTTATACTGGGAGTTTCTGCCCAGAGGTGCAACCGCTTACCTTTTGCATACCATTTTGACAGAAAAGCTACTACCCTTTAATATATACATTTTACTGAAAAAAGTACTCCTTTAACAGATCTATTTAAGAACAGTGCATCGTTTTTCTAAACCTTTGGCTTTAGAAAGGTATGCTTCACTATTTTAAGGCTGTCAGCTTCCCTGGAGAGCTCATTATAGGAAGTACTCTCCCCCAGGGGCTTAACTTGGGAAATTTGTCAACTAGAAAAGCAAAATTATTTTTGAAATCGGTTGGCATTTTCAAAGAAATATAGAGTACTTTCAAGAGGTTTGAGTGAGACTTTTGATGAAAAAAAAATCATTAAAATTTTAGACTGTGAAGCATGGAAGTTATGGTAACTTCATAGCAGGAAGACTGGGTTTTTCATTGTTCCTGCGATAACGTTTCACAAAGGGAAAGAGTGTGCAGTTGCTTCATCTGGTTTGCCAGCAAAGAGAGTTATTTAGTGTTGCTGCTGTCTGGCTATAATGCTGCTTCATATACCGGTTGTAAACACCGGTGGATAAGCTGCACCTTTTTACTCAAAATTTTCCTTTAAAATTGGGGATGCGGCTTATCTGCGAGAACATGTGGACAACATGCCATAAAGTTTTATAAATTGACACTTTCCATCAAAAATTGGATCATGTGTACTTAAGGCATTTGTCGGCCAAGTATTGGTCGATACTATCAGCCGATACGTCGGCTGATATGTCGGCCGACACTCGGCCGATATGTTGACCGAGTCTCGGCCAACATATCGACTGACATCGACCAACATGCATGTCGGCTGACACTTACCCGATAATTTACTGACACTCGCGCAACACTACGCTTATTTGGTCGGCCCTTGTTACTGAGTTCTATCTTCTCTACTCAAATATTAAATAATCTTTTCTAGCCCTTTGGGAGGGTCTTTCAGTGGCCATCGTCTGTTTTTGGCTTTTCCTGCCGGCAACATTCATCTATGTCAAAGTATTTCCAGCTATGTTTTTTCCTGGTGACCACTTGTATATATGACCCTTGTTACTTTCGGAAGTAGCCACCTCTGGAGCTTGTTGCTGTTGGAGGGTCACTACTTTTAGGGAGCAAAAAGTGATATAAAAAGTTGGTACGACTGCGCTCTCTTCCTGCCACATGGATGAATTGATCATTTCTAGACCCTGTGATATTTCACAACGCTTCGTGGCATAAGCAATACCTTCCCTTGTTACAGAGTGCCTTAAATCAAGTTATCATACATAACTTTCACCTGACTATTGATCAGTGGAAAATAAATATGCTATTGAACCTGGGTTTTGCTTATTTTTGGTGGGGTGAGGTTGTTTAGGGTGGGCTCACTACCTTTGTGGTACTTTCGGGGGGTCGCTACTATCGGAATTTAATAGCGGTTTTTAGCAGTCGTTGCTGTCAACTGCTATTGATTTTTCAGTGGTGATTTGTTAGTTACATTTCTTCAGCATTTCCTCATTTATTCATTCCTTCCTTCATTTGTAAGCCGGAGCAATGAAAGTTGCTAGAGTTATCGTAGCATTCCAGCATAGTAGATATGTATTCAAAATGACAGCAGTTTGAGCTGCATCCTCGCTCTATCAACATATGAGCTTAGGTGATAGAGACTCTTCCTTTGCGTCCCCTGTGGGTAAGGAGACAGCTGCTATTTCAGCAAAACAACAATTAACAATACACCGATACCACTGACAGTCGACCGATACACCAGCCACTGTCTATCCCAACATATCAGCTGAGGTGTTGGCCGAGTGTCAACCGACATACCGACCGATAGTGTCGACCGACACTTGGCCAACTCTCGGTTGACATATTGACCGAGTATCGGCTGACTGTCAGTCAGCATATCGGCCGATAGTATCGACCGATACTCAGCTGACAGATGCCTTAAGTACACAAGATCCCAAAAATTTATAAGTCGGTAAAGCAAACTAATCAACTAATCGGTCTTTTGTCAACAAATGCTTACGGTCCATCGTGGGCATACACTGGCCTCAGGTTATAAGAAATGAAGAATTGTGGGAAAGAACTGAACAGGACCGAATCAACATCCAGATTTGAAGGTGCAAGTGGGGTTGGATTGGGCACACCCTAAGAAAACCGATCAGCAATATTACCAGGCATGCACAGAGGTGGAACCCTCTGGGAAAGAGAAATCAAGGTCGTCCTGGAAGTGACCTGAGATCCAAACTTCCTCTCGGCCAAATTTAGAATCAAGCAACCTGTAATATTTATCTGCCAAAAGCTGTTGAAACATTAATACATGGACAATGTTGCACCTATTGTTTTCTTCATTGTGTGTAAAATATATTTTCTTTTTGGTTTCATCGAAACCTTGGATTTGAAGGGAATAATATATACACTAAAAAAGGTAGTCATGGAATATATACACTGAAAAAGGACGTTAGTCATGTTAGCCATGGAATGTGCTGACGTTGAAGCTTTCACTTTCACTACATTACAAATAAGATCGTGTTTACTTTGCAAGTTTCTTTCACCAGGAGCAACAATCTTTTTAGCTTTCAGAGTATTTTGCGCATTTTTAGACAAGAGATTGTCATCCTGCTTTATTGAAGCGAGTTCAGAAATTAAATATTTGCAAGCCAAGCAAACAACGTGTCACAACATGAAAGGATTACTTCATTGGTAGGAAAATAACCAGGATAAGGTAATTCTCAAATTATGTGACTCGTGTGACTACTTTGCTAGCCCTTTACTCAAGAAAAAAAACCAATTAAATTTAAGATTTCTCAAAGGCTAAGAGCAATGGTGCAATATATACAGTTTGCATTGATCAAGTGATGTGGTGTCTACAGTAATCAATGAATCTTTAGAATGTGCACTGTGTTGCGACTGTAGTGCTAATTAAGAAAACAGTTAAATATTAAAAGCGCGGTTATAAGATCTAGCAGATTGTCTTGTTAACCGCGCAGCCAGGCGGTGTGGAAATATGACTTATAGGAGGAAATATGACTTATGTCTATGTCGTATCTAAATATTTACCGTCCATTCGGCTTCTTTGCCAACTTTAGAGATGACCAATGATGAAACAGCTACCTTCTTGCAAGCTGGCGGTGAAATGCGGTCCATAAATAATTCCGGTTCAGGTAACTGCGTTCTTCTTTTCGTCACATTTGGAGTCGCTTTCAGACCAGCAGACTTCGCCTTGATGTAGGTGTCATACGAGCGTGGTACAAAGGCTCTGAAAGCTTCCAGATGTTGAGCCTGCCTTGCTGGGCCCCATCTGTTCCATGTTACGGGATCTACGTGAAAACGGTCATATCCGGCAGCAAGACGGTACTTTCCGAGACTTTGTATAGCCCTCTCTTCTTCCAAGTAGAAGTCCTCTGCCCACGTGACCAGTTGGGAAGTAACGGCTGCCACTTCTTTAGGGACATCCTCTTCGGCCATTCTCTTCTTTTGAAGCTTGTGCTTTAGTTCGAGCCCATTTGTGTAAAATCTGCCTTCAATGCTCAGACTTTCCCTTGCTGAGAGAACGAGGCAATCTTTGAACAGCTTCGATCGGTTGCTGTTGAACCAATGGTGGAAACAGGGGCTATTTCTTCCCACACAGGCTTTAAACTTTCCAGTTTAGCGTCAAAATCGCATTCGTCCTCAGCGTCTGCTAAACCATTCTGTAGAAGAACATCATCTTGCATTCCGTATATATCAGCCATCACCCTTGACTGAGACCGTTGGTTACACCCAAGAGATGTGAGCTTTTGGAGATAGCGCTCTGTCATGTGCTGAGTGCACCAAAGCTTCTTGGCATCTGTAAAAATGTCACATAGTCCTTGTGATAGTGCTTTATCTAAGTCATGGCCAATCTTTTTAATTCCGAGCAGCTCTGGCTTCTTAATCAGAAGCTCGCCAGCAAATCTTCGATAACATTCCCTGGTTTTGCGAAAGTGCCAAAAGCTGGGCGCGGGGAACTCTGGGTTTTTACCATTCAAATTAGTGAGGGCTTCATTTGTGTAAGTCGTGTCAGTGAGCCACAGCCCTTCGACAAGTTTGAATGTTGTGTCCACACGGAGTATCGCATTGCCATTTACGCAGAAGCGGTGTAAGTCATTGATCATGTTGGGGAGACTATTGAAAGCAATGTAACTTTCTTTCGTGAATGTTACACTTTGGAGGAGAGAAACGGTTTGTAGG